ATGTGGGGGCGTGTTAGAACGAGGCGTTTTAGGTAGGCGTGGTTGACTCTTAACTTTTATAAAGAATATCTCTTTGGATTTGAGACTTTAGTCTTTGCAACTTTACAGATCTTCTTTATGCACCAAGAGCTTGTAACACTCCAAAGAGAAAGGAAAACTTGAAATCGCATCATATGACCCCTTTAATATGTATTTTTTTTAGGGGTTAATAAGGTACAAAGGTGTACCTTATGCTACTGCCTCAGTAACAGCTTTGTACCTTTTTATCCTGAAAGTGTAGGTCGGTAAAAGGTCAGCATAATATTTACGTTCGAATCATGATGTTGTATCTAACGAAACTACCAAACTTGCATGCCCTGCTTGCAAGGAGATAAAGATTTTATTTTGAGATTAATATACAGTGACACTTGCCATAAGTTTTTTGTTGTTGAGGTCATTAAAAGCTTCACCTAAGCTCTTGGTTTTGGGGAATTCAAATGCTTTATTACAGGGAATCACATTTGGTCGAGCCCAAGAGCTTGGCATTGCTCAGCTTCCGCTGGGCAGTTTCGTCCAGATGAATAGCCGCAAGGTGCTGGCCGTCAGTCACGGTGAGATTCCCTCTCTCTAGATATCCATTCAAATGACATCCTCCATAATATACTACTTTTAAGTTTCCTAGTGGAAATGAACCAATCATTTCCCCCCTTGCCACAGTTTTTGAAATCATCCTAGCATTCCTGGAGAAACGAGACTGGCAAGAAGCTTTCTTTACCGTTCTGCCACAGAGGAAGGGAGCTGTGCCAGTGTGCCAGGAGAACAAGCTCGGAGAGGGCAATGATGAGGAAGACTCTGATGAAGACTCGGACACAGAACAGCCAATCGTAGAAAAGAGAACGGACTCAAGGGACCAATCAGAAAGCAAACAGGAAGAACACAAACCTGTGCTAAAGCAGTCAGATTCCAGCGAGTGAAACACAGCTTAGAGATATGTAACATTAAAGATGTTTAATGGTTTTGGAAATTTTACTTTTTTTTCTGATGTTTTTTTTTTATTTATTTAAAAATCTCCATTTCAGATTTGAGATGCTTCTGGCAAAGGTTTGGACTTGATGGTGTTTTTGTTCAAACTAATTTCATGACAAAAAAAAAAATAATAATAAATGAGAAATTGCCCCTTTTTTAGCCTTTTCCCTATAAAAATAAACAACAAATAATGTGTAGATTTTATGAAAAAAAAAAAAAATCTTATTTTATAACAATGAGCTTTTTGTTCATTGTAAACATATAATATTTGATCCGCTCATATTTTTATCCTGTACATTTATACTGATGACTAAAGTGTATATTTGGTACATTCTTTGTTAAATCTCAGTCCTGTACTGAACAGTATTTTTTTTTAAACGTCTAAGTAATGTTTTTCTTTTTCTTTGGACTAACTAAGAAACAGACTCTGCATATTAGCTGTTTTTGCTGTTCTGCCACAGTGGGATTTGTACTTGTGGGCCAAGAGAACAAGCTCGGACACGGCAAAACTCAGATGTAAGCCATCCAGTCTCAGAAAAGAAAAAGACACAAAGGACCAATCAGAGAGCAAAATGGAGGTACATAAAACTCAGATTCCAGTAAGAGAGAAAACAGGACAAATCTTGATCTTGAGTAGTTTTGTAGTTTGTTGCTGTCGTGTTTTATTTTCAGGTTAATGAAATATCACTTGAGCGTTTGAGATGCTGAGGTTTTTTTTAAAGCAAATTTGATGAGGAACTTTCCTTTTCAGTCTCAGACATTTAGATCTTACTTTAGATCTTAACGCATATGATTGTAGTGATGGTCTACATACATATTGTATTTTACCTATTGTTAGTAATCTAAAAATCTGCATCAAAAAAAAGAAAAATTATATATTATATCAGCTAATAGACCTAAATATAGAAGACTTTAACATAGAGTTCAATGTTCAAATACTGATTATTGTAAATCATGCTGCTAGCGCACAAGTGTGTAAACGTTTCTGTTTTTGAAGTTTAAAGGGGTCATATAATGCGGTTTCAAGTTTTCCTTTCTCTTTGGAGTGTTACAAGCTGATTGTGCATAGATAAGATCCCTGAAGTTACAAAGACTAAAGTCTCAAAACCAAAGAGATATTCTTTATCAAAGTTAAGACTCTGCCACGCCCCCCTAAAACGGCTCGTTCTAACACGCCCCCACATATCTACCTCACTATGTGGAAATATTTGCATAATGCCGCCCAAATGTGCACGCTTAGAAAAAAGGCGTGGTTTCAGTAACCGCAGTTAGCAGTGAAGCAGCATGTCAGGGAGACGCTGTGTGTTTCTAGGCGAAAGCAAAAGCACTTTATTTGGCCTTCCGAAAGTAGATGCATTTAGGAATCTTTAAGATTACTTACAACAGAACAGCAATGCATTTTATGGATGACCATTTCGTGAACCTAGGAGAGGAGGTAATTCTGACTTTGCTATGACAATCTGGCGCTTCTGAATCAGCTACTGTTTTGTTATTAGTTTAAGTATTTGCTATTGACTGTTCAAATGCGGAGTTTTTCATAGAGGACCTACAATAATGTACAGTATTTGAAAAATAATGTGTTTTTTGAACATTAAAGCACGTCAACATATTCTGTTACACCAAATACACAAAATAATGATCTTTAAAAAAGCATCATATGACCCCTTTAACATTGTATTTGAAAAATACTCAAATAGTCCCCTAGATGTCACTATACACCAACACGCGAGTTCATAAAAAAGTCAAATATTAGTTTGATTAAATGAAAAGAAAAATGTAAAGCCATGATTAGGTTTAATAGAAATGTCTCTTACTATTCTTGATTCCGTTCAGTTTTATCTCTGTAAATATTTTCATAATATATATATAAATATATAAGAAATATTTTTCTTCCCTTTAAATATTTTAGTGTTTCAAAGTTCTTAATTGTTATGACAGTTTCACGATATTAGCACAGCATCACAGACTGATTTTATTAGTGTTAAAGACCAAACATTAATAACATTTTGGGGACATTAAAAGCATCATATAAACAGAAATGCTAATCACAGAGAAGCATTCCTCATCATGAATAACAGTGTTTTTCAGCTCAAAACCCTTGTTTGGAACACTATTCCGTTGAACTCGGTAAAAGTGCCCGAGGCTTTAACTGTTTTCAGGAGGGAGAACAGGTTTACGGTTTTTGGTGCTCCTTTTCCTTTAGGCCAAGAATGCAACCAGATACAGTAAGTCTGGTAGATTCATGTAGCGTTCATACACATGCTAATTATGTCACCACACTTGCGAAAATTAATCAGATACGCTGTTTTGTAGCTAGTTCATCCAGCAGAGTCATATTGGATATTGGGAAATCTTTAACAGAACACCCCTTTTATTGGAATGATGTCTGGTTACTGGACAGTTTAAGCAATCACAAAGTTGGCTGTAGGACTTCTTTACATTTTAAAAGAAATGTAAAATCTAGTTAAGGTTAATCAGAGTCAAGTGATGATCTATGTTCTGAAAGATCTTGTTTGAACCTAATAGGTAGGCTATACTTATTCGTTCTAAATTTGAGAAAAGAAATTAATACAAGATTCATTGACAAACATCTTTGATTTTATCCAGAGGTAATGGTAATCACAAGTTACTCTAACCTTTGTGTTTTCCACAAAAACATTATGGCAGAAAACAAAACTGTTAAAGTGAACTAGACCATTACAGATCTCAAACGATTAAGCAATTATAGAATATTAAACCAGTGTCTAGATTGAATCATCAGATTGGGAAGAAACACCCGGATTAAAAACTGGAAAGTTGAGTAAAGCAGAGCGCGTAACAACATGTGCGCGACTGCGCAATGGAGAGCTGCCTTCTCCAACAGGTGTCTGTAAGAAATGTTCTTCTCTCAGAGCAATTTCAACCCGAGCGTCGGAAGAATAATGGAAATACTTCGGGTTTTCTCAGCATGTCGTAGCTCTTAAAATAAGACGAAAACAACATAAACTGCAGTCAAACTTTTGTGCGCTCCCGTGAGGATTTACGCATGGAGAAACGTTCACTTTTTATGTATCTAGTCCATAAACATTCTGTTTCATTTTTTGTTCTTCAAATGAATTAATCGATATATTGATTCTAAACGAAGAGTTTTCACTATATCATTATGGCAGAAAAAAAACTGTTAAAGTGAAATCGACCATTAAAGATCTCAAACGATTAAGCAATTACAGAATATTAAACCAGTAGCTAGATTGAATCATCAGATTGGGAAGAAACACCCGGATTAAAAACTGGAAAGTTGAGTAAAGCAGAGCGCGTAACAACATGTGCGCGACTGCGCAATGGAGAGCTGCCTTCTCCAACAGGTGTCTGTAAGAAATGTTCTTCTCTCAGAGCAATTTCAACCCGAGCGTCGGAAGAATAATGGAAATACTTCGGGTTTTCTCAGCATGTCGTAGCTCTTAAAATAAGACGAAAACAACAAACTGCAGTCAAACTTTTGTGCGCTCCCCTGAGGATTTACGCATGGAGAAACGTTCACTTTTTATGTATCTAGTCCATAAACATTCTGTTTCATTTTTTGTTCTTCAAATGAATTAATCGATATATTGATTCTAAACGAAGAGTGGTTTCGTTTTTCTACGCTGGATCTCCACCACCTGCTCTTCATATATGGGAGTCTCCTGATCTCCAACATCTCCCGACTGACATCTGCGATCGATTGGATTGCTTGGGAAGACAACTAGCTCTTGAGATGGACACAGTTTTCATATATTAATAATGACCATCGCATTGAGATCGCCAAACTGAAAACTTGGGCTCAGCTGAAAGTCTGAACTGGTGGACGATGAAGACAGTTTCATATATTCTTGCTGCGTTGATCATCTGGAACTCAGGTGAGCCATTTCATATATCATAAGTAGCTTGCGAGTGCAATTGGAAACCTTTGGAAACAAAGGTTTAGGAAAAGAGCTTCACAACACGTTTACGGTTGTCTGATATTACAGGAAGAACTGGTTCTGATGACAAACTGCGAATGTGATTCAGTGTGACAGACAGACGCTCCCTTACACGCTGTCTTATGCGTCTTAAGGAGTGTTTTATGGGTTGATGAAGCTGTGAGAATAAGGGTGTGATGGATTTGAGGGTTTGGTCAACGTTACATACATTTTTGAGTGTTTTTGCTGGCGTATGAGCTATTCATAAAGTTGTGTGTTAATGCAGGGTCAGTGGGTCTGAGTACATGATGTAATGTAATTTATATACATTATTAAATTTTGCTGTAGCCTATTAACATCCTCTGCTGGTCCTAGAACATCATTCCTACTCCGATATTAGAGTTTAGGGTCAGGTTTAAGGTTATGGCCTTGAACAACAATCCAGTCAAGTTATTTTGAGATTTGAGACTGATATTGTTTTTAATGACCATTATTGTAGTTTTTAATCATTGTATGGTGCTTAAAGTTCAGTTTCTCCAGGCAAGCAGTCGTATTACTGTTAACAGATTACCAACCCTGGATATGTATTGAACTGCTAAAAATGAACATAATGTATTTCTTGTTCATAGATAAGATTTGAGACTGATATAGTTTTTTTCTGATCATTTTTGGTTATTATTTTCTGGGGACAATCTGTTTTTAATTGTTTTATTTCTACTTTTTGACACCAGAATGACTAAATTGTCATTATAGCCTATATACCACAATACAAACAAACTGTATTGTTGTTGTTTTTAAGCCCCCCCCCCTAAATTATTACCACCAATTACTGTTGTTATTTCTGATTAAAAATTAAATTTCTGAGTAAAAATTGTTTCAAAGGTGTATAAAATTAAAGCGCCGATTACATATTAATTAGCAAAGTGTCAATATTAGTAAAAATATTAGTCAAACCAATTAAGTCCATTTTTGCCCCCTGGTTTTAGGGGTAGGGTTAGGCAACAAATGGCAGTCCTTAAGGATGTTGACTCAGGAACTTGTCACACTGGGATAAATCATGTTGTGTGGCACAGTGACAGAGGCTCTATGCCAGAAATCTTGTCAACAAGATTATGTCCAAGAGGCTTGTCATTACGGTTCATTGATGTAATTCGTAGTCTTTGCAAACTGGACAACTGACTGCCGCGGCCTAATGGTCAAGGATCTGGGTTACTGACATAAAGTTCAAAGCACTTGAAATGTGTTTAACACTCGGTTTCTCCAGGCAGAGAGTCCCATTAAGTGTACAGTTAATTTATGACTGATTTCTGCAGCTTTCTTGTTACTGCAAATAACAATAAACACAAAACATTTCTTATTCATATGTGAGCCTAATCAACTTAAAGTATGCAATAGTTGTCTGTACTTTTGGGTTGGTGTATTTTTTTTTATAATATATTATAATTGTGCTTGAAATTGCAAGTTACATATTGCATTTTACTTATATAATTTATATTTTTATTTGATATTGTTATTATTATTATTTTAATAAAATATATATGATTCATTTTTTGTATTTAAAAGTAAATGTAATAGTTCAGCTTATATGCACTCAACTTTGCATGCATGCACTTTGTATTTGAATGTTTGCTTAATGCTCGTCTGCCTCCCAAAAGTAATTAGCCCTGAGACACATAACGAGTTGAGCAGCATATCTAACTCTCGTCCACAAACGCTCTTCCAGACAACTGTTTGTCTCTCACCCCTCTTCCTTTCTTTTATTTCGTTATCCATATCTATTCCCATGTCTGCTTTGCCTCTCTGTTCTCTGTGCCAGTTCAATAGTGATGAAAAATGAAAGGTTCATGTTACCACCGTACTGAATGTAACAGATGACCTCAGCCAATGTGGTCCAACTTTTCTTTTACTGCAGGTATATTTCTCTTAAAGGTGCTATTTCTATTTTTTTTAAAGCACTGCATGAACTGCCTTGGCCTGTATGATATATATATTCATGGGATGGCCTAGAATGTTTTTTTTTAATTTTTTTGTCTGGCCCTTTAACTTGTGACCACATCTGTTTGTGATGCCATAGCTATGAGCGCTACAAGGAACTTGCTGTGCTGAATTTTTCCCAACACTAAATGCAAAGTACATTGTAAAAAAAAAAAAAAAAAATGCAATAGTGTAACAAGTAGTTTTGTTAGTGCTACATAGTTTTACAATTGCACGACTAATTCGGTGATGTTGTTTTAGATGTTAAAGTTGCTGAGTGCTGAGTATCAGGCCGCCCAAGATGTTGATGATTTTGTTTCTTCATTGGAACAGAGAAATTTCGCTTTACGTCACTTGCTCACCAATGGATTCTCTGCAGTGAATGGGTGCCGCCAGAATGAGAGTCCAAACAGCTGATATATAATCCACACGACGATGTCTTGTGAAGTGAAAAGCAGCATGTTTCTGAAAAACAAATCCATCATTAAACAGTCACTTCTGGTCAAAATTAAGTCCATAATAACACTTCCTTCAGGGAAAATGTCAATCCCCTCATCAAAATCCACCAACATTTTTGTTTTAGAGCACCAACATTAGTTTAGAACTGTTTCGGAATCTTTTTGCTTGTAAACAGATCTTGATCTGTGCATATTTCACTTCTGAGTGAGATGAGATGACTTCACTGAGGAAAGTAATATTATAAATAGAGGAATCATATTTTAGCCGAAAGCAACGGTTTGATGTTCAAACATTGTAATGATGAATTTTGATGAAACACGCAGCTTTTCAACTTCACAAGACATTAATTGATGGACTGTAGTCGTGTGGATTACTTGTGGATTATATATCAGCTGTTTGGACTCCCATTCTGACGGCACCCATTCACTGCAGAGAATCCATTGGTGAGCAAGTGATGTAAAGCTGAATTTCTCCAAACCTGTTCCGATGACGAAACAAACTCATCTACATCTTGGATTGCCCATGGTTGACTAAATTGTCAGCAAATGTTTATTTTTGGGTGAACTATTCCTTTAATAACACTTAATAAAGGAAACTGAGCTAATACTTAAGAAATAATTACATATATAGTATGATACATAATATAAAATATTACATAGTATAACTACTCATCCACCAATTCTTTTTATAGTTTATAGTTGCAACATTAATACATGTGATTTCTGATTTTATAAACAACTTCCAACAGAGTTCATCCAATAGAATTTATTTGTTATCATATTGCTGTTTAAAAAAGATTCTCAAGTGGCTTATGACTTTATTTGATTAAAACCATTATCTCTCTTTTTGTGTCTTTCAGCAGCCTGTGTAAGTGGAGAACAAGAACATTTTCTAGAGCCCTCTGAGTCCCCCTGGACTCTGCAGTCTTTGGCTGAGGAGGAAACGCGTTTACCCTGTCGATTCAATGTATCGAATCATGAGATTAAGGTGGTGCAGGTGATGTGGATTCGAAAAAACTCAAATGGAGTTGAAGAACAGATTATCACTGCTCATTTCAGTGAAGGCCAGACAGGTAAAACTAACTTTTTCTTTGTCTGTTACTTCACAGATATCAAAACTTAAACTGTTACACATTTTTTAGAATGTAATTATTATATTCTTTAATTTTACTAATATTGTTATCACCAAAGAAAAATTATTTTCAAGTTGAATCATAATTGCTGAGTACGAATAGTTTCAAACTAAATCATATACCAATTTTTTCACTGTGGACTTCTCTAGCTATTACAATATCCTCTATAGGCAGCTCTGAGTCGTTTCAAAAATGTTACCAGTTCTGCGGGGTTTAATCAGATTTCTGGCTGTTCCTTGAATCTGGTTCTGTAACTATAATTGTATTGTACTTGTGCTTTCGGTTCTGTACTCATTTTGCATTCATTTTACACTGAATCATTAAGCAGATGTTTATTTTTCAGTTCTCTTTTGTAAAAATAACTTTTCATAAAGGAGCCATTACTGCAGAATCTTTAATATTTCCTTTCCACTTTCATTTCTTTTGAGATGATAAGTTTTGTTGTTTGCATCATTCCTTTTTTGTATGCTTCACAAAAATGGTCAGAAACCAAATCTTACTGTCACATGTCACATTTCATTCTGTTTCTCTCTCTCTCGCAGAAAGCCCTGCATACACAGGGCACGCTCGATTCGCAACCAGCGACCCAATAGCAGACTCTGCTCTGATTCTCATGGGCACACGTTCTGCAGATGAGGGCAAATACATCTGCAAAATCGCCACCTTCCCCGCTGGCAACTTTGAGAGAGAGATTTTGGTCACAGTGTGGAGTGAGTACATTAATCGTGGCTACATGGGCAAACAGAAGACGGCAAACTTTTGTCATACAAAACTCTGTGACTGTTCATATTTTATATTTTAGCACATTGGACGATCAGCATAAACCACTTTTGATTTTCAGCATACAATCTGGTCGAGATTGTATCTGATTTTGGTCAAGAACTGCCAACTTAAACAGGAAAAGGTTGTCTGGCTAAAACCTGCCCACAGACTGCTGTGAAACCACCAGTCTCTTAACTCTAAAGAAACTTTGTGTTCGCTCACAAAACTTTTGTCAGGAAAGTATTATTTCAGTGCTTTTGCAAGCGAATGAGAAGTTTCTTGTGGAAATGCTGCGATGCAAAAAAAAAAAGGTGTCTTAAAAATTACTTTCTCTCTCCCGTTTTTTGCGAATTTTGCGAGTGAATGAAAAATATTTTACGAGACAATGCAAAAGCAATAAAATGCTAAATGTAATTTTTCCTTCAATATCATATTTTTTTCCATCACCATGTCCCCTTAGGGGCTTCGTAGTGATTGGAGTTAAAATCAGCAGAGTTTTTTTGAGTCTTATGTATATGACTCAGCAGCAGTTAGCGATAAAACCCTCAGTGATACAGGACAAGGATAACATAAGCCTTTGATTTTTTTAACATTACCATTGTCGTTTCATTCAGCGTCCCATTCATGTACAGAGAAAACCCGTTAACCACAAAGCTACCACTGCTATGATGCATACAGTTATTGTTCTCAGAATAATTGTCTGCATCAATGGGAGTGATGATGGACGTATTTACCTGACAGTGTTCATTGTTGCTCCGATTACAAGATCATATAATAGCTGCTGCTTTCTCCTTCAGAAGTATTGTTTACGGTTGTTTTCAAGCAGACTGTTAGAAACAGGAAAGCAAACTCTCACTTTAGAACATTTCATAAATTAGACACTGGTAAAATATCTAAAAGTTTGTTTTAAAATACTGTCAGTACTTCATTGTAAAGTTTAAATCCTATTTATCATGTTTATTATGTATTTGTCATTTCATTTCACAGCTAAACCCATTACGTCTCTGCAGCCGTTCGTCCTGGTTGAGGGCCAGTCATTCCGTCCGGCCGCTATATGCCGTTCGGTGGCTAAGCCGATGGCAGGCCTCTCCTGGGACACGGAGCTCGCGGGTCAGAGTCAGAACCGTAGCTCAGATGGTGAGGTGGCCTCCATCCAGTTTTCTCTCCACCCTCTCCGTAACATGAACGGGCAGAAGCTGGACTGTCTGGTCTGGCATTCATCGCAAAAAGGCCCAGTGAGGTTCTCCAATAACCTTGTAGTACACTGTGAGTCCTGATCTCTTAACACTTATTATAAATATATATCAGAAGTGTCTGGGTCATAATGTGTGACATTCCTTTCCCCTTGAATTCGTATTACTATAAAGAAAAAATGTAACACTAATAAAAATCATCCTGTTCAAATTAGCATTAATTGAATCCAGTACAATGAATACTTTCATTTATACTTATAAAAGTACTTTAAAAATGCAATGTCTTTAATAATATATAATAAAAATCAATTATAGTGTTTTATAATTACCTTTTCACTACTAAAAACTGGAGGGAGGAGGAATTATATCCTTAATTATGTGCTTAATTATCATTTATCACTTATTCAAAAGATATTTTCTTATTTCCTACATTATAAAAAAAAATATGCTGGGTTAAAAACAACCATTTCTGGGTTATTTGGCCACCCAATTATTGGACAGAGCACATGCTGGGTTATTATATCGGGTTGGGTTAAATGTTTGACCCAAATGCTGAGTTGTTTTATTTAACTCAACTATTGTTACAAATTACTGGGTTGGAAATTAGAAATCACACCCAGAATTACTAGAGACAACAGTAATAATCAAAAGGTGAACATTTATTAATAAGAAAGAACACCCATGGACAAAATCATAAGACAAATTGACAAAAATGCAACATTTAAAAGTAACCTCATACCACTGCCTCGTGTTTCACTTGTAGTTGAAAGATGTTGTGACTGATTCCATAACCTGCACATAAACAAACAGTACTGAGATTGCAGAACATATCTTAACATCAAAATGAATTAAATTCAGTATTATAATGAATAAAATCAGTTTGTTATATCTCGTAAAATCATTTACAGCGCAGTAAAGACTTCATAGATGAAATAAAACATATACACACCTTTATTTGACTGAAGAAGTGCACCAATTAGGCGACACTGAGAACTTTTTCCTAAAGACGATGCAAACAACTTTTCAGCTGTCAGTGAGATTGTCCCAGCCACTAACTCAACGTCTGGGTAACACAAAAACTACCCTACTCTGGGGAAAAAACTACCCAACAGGCTCAACCTTGTGGTTGGGTAGAAAAAAATAACCACGCATTTTTTAGATTGTAGTGTTAAAAGACATTTCTTAAATTGTTTATCAATTTTTTTTTTTTTTTTGCAAGTTTCCACGAGTACTTTTTATTGGGCAAAGAATCATTAGTGCTATAGTTAATCTATAATTCATTTTGGCACTTCTTAAGAATTATTTTGATCTCTCTTGATGTCAAACCACTTGCCAGGTTATAAACACAAGCTGTCAATGTGCTTTCTCTTCAGAAGAATTTTTAATGTTGTCCTTACTGCAGTATGATTGATGTACTATTGCGCCACAAGTTTTATACGTCACTGCCTGGATTTGACTCTCATGAAATCATGAAAACAACTGTGAATTTTATAATGTAAATGTAAAACACCTTTCCTGTTTACTCTGCTTGCGAAATTTGAATATGATTAAACTGTTGTTTCTTCTACATACTGTATGTAACTTCCCTCAGATGTGTTATGACATGTGCACATCTGTTTATTGTCTTAATCGATACTATGACTACATTGTTTCTCTCTGATTCATCACTACTGCTGCGGTCATAATGTCTTTGCTTTGGTTGATTGTAGGAAAATTTAAAGCAATAGCTCTCTCAGAATGAAAATTCAGGCATTATTTAGTCACCTTCGTGTGTTTAGAAACCCATTTGACGTGTCTACTTCTGTGGAACTCACATGGAAAAAGTCTCAAGAATATCCTGGTTGTTCTTCTTGTTGTTTTCCCCCAATTCGGTTACAACGAATGAGAACTGGAGCTTTCGAAAATCAAACGGGATGCAAAACCACCATAAACCAAATAGTTGAAAGTCTGAAACCATATAGTTTTGTGTAAAGAATAGCCTTAAATCTTTCATCTATAATAAAGAAAGAGTTAATAATGTCTGAGAATGTGCTTTTGAGTCTGAACTTTTCAATGAATCCATTCATTCGGTTCACAGAATAAATCTGAATGATTCATTCACAAATCAGACAATGATCTGCAACAGTTCAATTTATATATGCACCATTTTATAATATTTTATGGTGGTTTTGCATCATTTTTAAAGCTTGAAAGCCCCAGTCCTCATTCTATATGACTGCATTGAAAAAAAACAACCAGTACATAATTTCAATGTATCTGCTTTTGTGTTCCACAGGGGAAAGAAAGTCATATGGGTTTAATTCAGTTGCACAACATTTTATTAATTCAAACATATGCATGTCTCATAATGCCAATATTAGAGTTTGTACTGGGTCAACAAAAGGATCAGGTGAACTTATTGGTCAAATAGGAAGTTCATCACAAGTTCCAAAAAGAGGCTGAAAAGTGAATTAGACATGCCTAATTGTAAAATCTTTTCATTTGTGTGTTCTTGTGTACATACAGACCCTCCAAATGCATTGATATCTGGCTATGAGGACAACTGGTTTGCTGAAATGCAAGAAGCCACGCTGCAGTGCAGTGGTCAAGGAAATCCAGAACCTCAGAAATTCAACTGGACGAGGTAAAACTCTGTCTACCTGCATCTCTCGATTTGTTTGTTTGTTCATCTTCCTGTAAGCCTGTCTTGTCAGTTTCATTCTGTTTCGGTTGGCTTCTCTATCAGCATGCCAGAGTAATCTCTAGGTGTGGACAAGAAGGTTGTGGCCTAAATTCATCAGTGAATTTTTTATCTACTCTATCAGATAGAAGTAATACTGACACTGAGAGGTCATTGAAATACACGACAGTTGTTTTTGCATTTGGGAACAATAATTAGTCACAGTCACACACCTATTTTTCGGCATTTTTCAGTACGAGTGACTAAGGGGGTGTGTAGACATGGATATTTAGATGATCACGCAATTCCTGAGACAAACATTCTCTGGTTTTCTCCTCCTCTCTGCCTCGAGTGGGGAAACCTGTTCTCTGGCTGCTCGGTGTGAATGCAAAGTAAATGAAGTAACTGTGGCCTGGTGTCGTGTTGCAACTTGCGAAGCAAACAGACAGAGTGCCTTTTCACACGGAGGGAGAGAGTGGGGGATGAGAAATGGCTGGTGAGGGGAGATGAGTAGGTTTATGATGATGGTGTCAGGAGAATTCGCCTGCGCACTTATGTGTGTCATCGGATGAGTCTTACCACTGTCCTCATGCAAATTGCGCCGTGCTGTATGAAAAACATGTAACTTATAGTTCCTGGTATAAGCTGTGGACAAAGTTCTTATTGTCTACGGAAACACTGAGTGGGCCTATTTGTGGTTTTAGCTAAATAAATAGGCTTATCAGCTTTTAAAAAGGGGGAGAACGATAACGATAACTATAAAGATAACGATATTAGCATCCACACCAGCGAACGATATCGTCTGTTTATTCTAAGCGCACATGCATCTGCCTCTTTAAATTCTCAAGCACGTTACAGCAGGATAGATTCTGATTGGCTGTCAATTTTTATCGTTCATCAGCTGGAGAAAAATCGTTTTGAAAGTGATATTCCAACGATATCGTTTCTCTTTGTCTTTATCGTTATAATTGTGTGGACTCTACTATTCTTTAATATTGAGAACGATTTTTAGAACTATATCTTTATAGCACGATGCAAGTTAAAGGGGTCATATGATGCTGCTAAAAAGAACATTATTTTGTGTATTTGGTGTAATGAAATGTGTTTATGTGGTTTAAGGTTCAAAAAACACATTATTTTCCACATACTGTACATTATTGTTTCTCCTCTATGCCCCGCCTTTCTGAAACGCGTCGATTTTTACAAAGCTCATCGGTCTGAAAAAGCGAGGTGTGCTCTGATTGGCCAGCTATCCAGTGCGTTGTGATTGGCAGAATTCCTCAAGCGTGTGACGGAAATGTTACGTCCCTTACCATACTGTGATGCCTGCGGCAACCACATGTGACGACCCCGGGCTGGACTCCGCTTCGTCCAGGGCGAAAGCTGATCCGGCGTATTTCCTCAGCGACCAGCATGGATCAGCTCCAGGCATGACGAATCGATATCGTCCTCTTTTGGATGGCCAAACAAAGTAGTTTCACTTTCACAACGAAACACACAGTGCCTTCACGACATGGCGACAGCGGCAACAACAATACTACAGCGAGAATAAAAGTTACGCCTTCTTTCTTTGC